GGTGCGTATATTCCATTGCCAAGGCTCGTACTTGATTGCCGACATGTCTTTCGTGAGGGTAGGACTGCGCGTCGCACAGCTGCGTGTTATATTCCGTCTACCGGAAACATTTACAATACCGCCGGGGACGACATGCAACCCTCCTTGCGTACGTCGAATGGTTTACACCATTCACTGCCCGGGATCCGACATTACAGATGCATTGGGTTTCTCGTTCAACGCGCGGCGGGAGACCCAATGCTGAGGTTATTGAACTTTCGCATGTTATAGGAGGATGTCATCTCGTACCTAAGTTTGGTACAGAGATCAGCCCTCGGTGGACATCCGAGAATGTGTTGGAAGATTGTAAGACATTCCTTGTTAATAGATATATAGATATTCGGACATTCTTCCTCCTGCAACCCCCTGCTTGACATTCTCTGTATATCTACCCATCATGTAATTATACTCAATATCTTTCTACTGGTTCGGAAACGTGCCCTGCAGCAAGGTGGCAAAAATTATGCGACATGTGCGAATCGAACCTACGTTGACTATGTGTCCCTATGGCGCGTGCCGCCTGCTATCAATGTCTATCCTGTCTATACCGCACTATGTGGCTAGGGTCCTCCTATGCCGCAGAACGCGTTTCCTGATGTACGCCAACAATCCAAGCGCGAAACAATCCCGACATGCTGAATCACTTCATGCATCCGGCGGAATCCAGGCTTACTGCCAATTTTGCCGGTCTCTTTAGGTCGAATTTCGGCAACCTGCTTGAATAAGCTCGTCTCGTCGTGTCGAGAAGCTTGGGGAAATATGAAGAGCTTCCATATGGCATCGGCACACGCCATTTTCAGATGGAAGAGACCGAGAATGAACACGACAAACTGGTAACGTAGCCATGGTGTTTTCTCTTCTCCCCGTGACTTTTGTAGGCTTTGCACTCTCTCGCAAGTCGAAAGGTCGCCGTGAACAAGGACGACATGGTCGCTGATGTCTTTCGTCTCAGCAGTTGCATTGGTGCTGCTCCGGTCCCCTATACCCCCTTGCTCGCATAAGTTGAGTATCGCGTTGGCATTTCCTTGTACAGTGGATTGATTGATGGCCATAGCGCGCGCCGGAACTTGCTTCGACTTGACGACAGGAATTCGCTCGAAATCTTCCGGCTCCTCAAGGTCCTTTGCAAATTGACGGAAGTATGCCGGGCCATGCACGATCAAATCTCTCAGGAACACCCAGACGTTGAACCGCTCGCGCCGCGAGAGGCCTGACGGGTGCGGCTTGTCAGGATGTAGCTCTGCAAGCTGCAGAATGTCGATATCTTCCGAGGTGCGCCAGTTGTCTGGGTTGTTCTGCGATTTCTGCCATAATTCTGTCGAACATTGTAGGTCCTCCTTCTTGACGCCATGGTCAAGGCGCAGTAGTGTGCCGGATGTCAAATGGAGAAGTGAGTCCTGCGATTTCTCCACCGTCGGGACTGTGTGTTTGATCTCGACGTCGAAGTTATCATATGCATATGCTGCCAGTAAGGATTGTCCAAGTGTTTTGATGTCCTTTGCTGATTGTTTTGATAGACTTCGCATTGCAGTGTCTATGGCAGATCGGGAGATGGAAATTCCAAGGCGCGAGAGCAGTTCAACGACTGCTTCCGGTGCGTTACATCCATATAAGTAGACCCCTACAACTGATTGCATAGCATTACAGTTCTTGTTCGTGCTCTGCATCATAATACTGATGCTTGCAACTTTCTTCTGTAGGGCCCGGGTACGATCGGCTCAGTCTGTCATCGCGCGTGTATGGCGGGTTACGTACCATAGTTAGTATCGCTTCTCGCCGTTCACCTTCTTTATAGTCGTCGTGCTCACTCTCCGGGTCGTCTGGGTCTTCAGGTATGTATGGATCCTCCTCGGCATCCCAGTATTGCTCATCACTCTCGTCTTCCTCCGCAGGTTCAGTGTCCTCCGGCTTATCCTCCCAGAGGTCTTCTCCCGCACCCCACCGGTCATCTGCGTCTCCCCATAGTTCATCATTGGATCTGGATGGTCCTCCATCCTCCCAACCGTCATCTACATCCCTCCATAGGTCATTGCTGGACCTTGGCACTTCTTCTGCCATGTCATCCATCACGATGTCTTCATGGGATGCTTCCGTACTAGGTGAGCGCTGATGGCGACGCTTGAAGTTTCTCTCCATCTGCTGCTTTGTTCGCCTCCGATTCCTCCTCTTATTTGCTGATGGGTCTGCTGCAAGCAGGTCTCCGAGAAGGTCCCACAGGCGCGGCGCAAGACTCTGCATCTGCTGAGCCAAGTCTTCAAAATTGAATGAGTCCAACTGCTCGCTGGTTGCGGTGCGGGCACTAAAGTGGAGCCCGGTCTTTTTGTTGGTAAGCACTTGAATCTCTCCGGTGTATGTGGCCTTAACCATATTAATGGCCCATTGGACCACCACATCACGGGATGCTGGATGTTGCCATAGTACTTCCAGCAGCTGTCCAGTACCTCTCAGGGCATTAGCTGCCACAGGATGCTGGCGGATATCTTCGCACTCAATGACTGCAAGCAGAAATTCGGTCGCAGTCATGTGGCGATGATGCAAGCAGTTTAGAATATCAAGTATTTCGTTGCTCGCGAGCACCATGGCGGTCGGAAAATAATGGTACTGCAACTACGACACCTCACACCTTACAAAATGTACTAAGGCGTGTCTACCATGCGGCCGAGCAGCGTAACATGCATGGACGACGGACTTCGCTGGAGGTAGTCACACTGTGACGCACATACGTATATTAGCTGCGAAATGCCATTTTGGGAAGGCGACTAAGCTGGAATAAATGGTTGGTTTATTGGTTGCGCTGGCTCGTTAGGTAAGCCTCGGGCATGCCTCGGGGAGCCATTTGGGCCAGCCGTCTCAGAGCGTTCTCTTCCTCTTAGTTGCCTTCCTGTTATAGTAGTTGACTTATGTAATGCACTAATAATAAACATAGAGTCCCACGCCCTAGTAGAGGAGGAACGAGGACGCGGAGACGGATGGTTATAGGAGCCTGGTCGAACTGCAGCACCCAAGACTCTGCCACGTCCTTAACAGATTTATGTGGTCCAAGGAGCTCTAATAGCCCTATGATAGTTTGGTTTAGTCGAAATGTTGATCACCGGTTGATCACCGGCCGGATGCTGACATCTATATGTCCAGGAGCACCGTCCCCAATTCGGTCGCTAAGTACGAGCAACATTCGGGGCAGCAAAACCTAAAGCACATCCAATCATCAGTAAAATGAATAGCATATATAGATCTATTTGTGCATCGTTTCGACCGGAACGGAGAAAATCGAACGAAATCGAAAGGAAACCCAAGAAAACCTGTTAAGTCCCACCAACGGATTATTCCTTACAGGTAAGCACAATAGCAACGGTTAGCGATTCAATGATGGTGCAGTTAATACATACAAGATATTTAGTTTGCGTGTGCTTCATTCGCGCCTGGACTCGGGACCCTCGCTACTTCTCTTCACCCCCCTTCCCCTAAGGTCTTAGTCCGAACGCACATCACATCTCCAAGTTCATCACAACTTCCCTTTCAACTCCTCATGCAACTTCTTGATCTCATCCATCCCGAGGTTCTGCTGTGTAGGCCACCCGATGACCAGACCTGCGTCGTCCGACTCTGCAGGTTTCGGGATCATGTGGAAGTGTACGTGGGGGACCACTTGGTGGGCGATCTTGCCATTATTCTAGTGTGCGCAGCGGAAGGAAGAGTGAGTAAAAGACAATATACATACACCGGAGTGGAAGCGCACCTGGAGAATGTTGTAGTTCTCACATCCAACTGCAACCGCGATCTTCTTCGCTACGATGAGCGAGTCCTTCAGATAATCATCAGGAATATCGTGCAACTTCTCCCCATGATCTAGGAGCGCGCTGCTCATCAGCGGTTCTGCGCACGCTTCCTCCCCACTTCAGCTCACACTTCGGGATCACGAGCGAGTGGCCCTTTGCGAGAGGTCCGATGTCAAGGAACGAGTAGCTGACAAGGCGCCCGCGTAAGCTATAGCCGGATATTGGTGAGAGACAGAGACATACGAAAGATCGGTTTCGATCAGCTTGAAGCTCGGTATCTCCCCTGTAAATGTGCCATTCGTCAGCCTTATCGTCGCCCCTGAGCCTGACCGTTCACCTTTGATGATCTTGCAGAAGATGCAGCTGGCGAGTGACCTGCCATAGTCAGCCCGTAGAAAACTAGATAGTTACTGCTGATTCAATACGACCTTGCGTTCGATGCGGCCATGATGACGTTCAGCACAGGTATTCTGGGTTCAGAACATGCAATCCCAGCGAAAGGAAAGGAACGGCTCGCCGATAGGAACTGCTGTAGCCGTAATTAAGTCACGTGCGAACACTTACCCGAATATAACGCGAAATGACGTTTGCAAAGGCGGAACTCATGCCTTCGTTACCCACCACCAACTACAAGTACGACTACCAGCTCGTCCCAGACGACGGCGAGCACGTTGAGAAAAGGAGAGCCAACACAAAGAAGAGGCTGCTTTTCCACTTTGTAGCCGTGATGGCGGTTCTGTACGCTGCGTTCAGCGGGATCCGGTACGGCGCGAGGGCGGGGTGGCTGAAGGGGTGCGCAGGGAAGATGCGCTACTCGACCAAGACGCAGCTGCCTAGTCATTATACCTTGCCGTCGGGGGACAAAATTCCGAGCGTTGCGTTGGGTACGGTAACTATAAGTCGTGTTATAGGAGGGTGCGCTGATTGCGACCGTAGGTGTTTGGCAGGCCGGCAAGGGTGAGGTTGGTCAGGCTGTCAAGGTCGCACTCGATGCCGGATACAGGCACATCGATGGAGCTTGGATTTACAGGGTACATCTGAAAGCCTGCACGCATTCATGTCCGGCAGACTGACTTGAATTACATAGAATGAGGAGGAAGTCGGACAGGCACTCAAGGAATCCTCTGTTCCTCGCGAGGAGATTTGGTTGACCTCGAAGGTAGGAAACCTTGTCCCGTCAATAGTATCCCATGATTACAACTCGACTCCAGCTGTGGAACACTTTCCACGCTCCGGAAGACGTCGAGCCCGCGCTTGACGAGTCGCTCGCTAAGCTTGGCACTGACTACCTCGACCTATACATCATCCACTGGTAAGACTTTCCGATGCCCTTGCTAATCAGGTCGGCGAACTGTAATGTTCTCCTAGGCCCGTCGCCTTCAAGAAGGGAAGCAATAACGAGCTGGACGAGCAACTCACGGCCGATCCATACCCGACATGGCAGGCGCTCGAGGCGCTCGTTGACAAAGGCAAGGTCAAGAACATAGGTGTCAGCAAGTACGGTTTAGGCTATATTACTGGTTGGAATCTGATCCTGACTGCTGGGTCATAGCTTCAACATCCCTAGACTCGCGAACCTCACCGCGAACAACCTCAAGTACCGTCCGGCTGTAAATCAAGTAGAGCTGAACTTCTGGAACCCCCAGCCGGACCTGCTCAAATGGGCGAAAGAGCACAACCTCCTACTGGAAGCATACTCACCGCTGGGCAGCAATAAGCAGGTGAAGGAGACTTTGGAGAGGCCAGAGGCACGTATCAGTTTTGCAACTAGTAAACGGTTGCTTACCCTGCTCATTAGATCCAGCAAATTGCCAAGGATCTCGGTATCACACCCGCTCAGGTCATCATCTCGTGGCACGTCCAGCGCGGGGTGCGTCTCATTTGCTTCTGCCTACTTGGCATGGCGATCTAACCGCTGCTTGACTACAGACCGTCGTCCTGCCGAAGAGTGTCACCCCCTCCAGGATCCAGGAGAACTTCAAAGGTAAGCTCCATTCCGTCTTTCATCTGTACACCGTCCGCTCACCTCGGGTATCAGTTACGGCTCTTCCCGACGACGCCTTTGCGAAGCTAGAAGCCGCCGCGACGGCGCACCCGCCTCAGCGGGTTGTTAACCCGAGCAAGAACTGGGGTCTGCCCTTCGACGTCTTCGAGGACTACCCGTACTAGAAGCTCGTTCTCGCCAGTTTGACCCCCTCCCCTGCGTAGTTCAGAGACGGCGGTGTAGTGTTAATGTGTGGGACTCGAAGATAGTGTTTTAAGTAGAATAAGAAGGCGAGGGTTGTGTTTAGGATTGTTGTTTTAAAAGTGCGAAGGAGATGTATTACCTGCGAGCACTCCACACTGCTGCAAAGTACAGAAGAGTACAGATTGTTGATGCCAAACCCATGAATGGTAATATTCCTTCCTATTATGGCTAAAACACCATTCACTTGCCATGAGGCGCGATTCAGAATGTCTGTCACGGTATAGAAGAATACATGCACGACACCAGGATGTAAATAACCCAGGATTCTCTATATACTTGCCCAAATCCAGTCGGTCCCTCCTCGTATCATCACTTCTTGCACTTCTCGGACCATCACGCTGCGGCGTGTGTCAGCGCGAATTCGTCCAAGAATTTCTGGGAGGCTTGCACGACCACGTTGACGTGGTCGATCGTTAGGGGTTCATTTCTATATCCATAAATATACACGATCAATTGCCTGGGACCAGAACTTGAACAAGCAACAAGCAAGAGTTGAACATACGCAGACAGAGCAAGCGCTTGCGAAGTCCGGACGAGATTCTTGATTGTACGGCCTATCCGGGGGTCAGAAGATAGGGAGGAAGGGGGGGCACGGCGGCCTATGAAGGCTCACCATTGAATGGTTTGGCGGATAGCTCATCCAGTTCACCTTCGGATATCCCTTGAACGGCATCCGTATTATCGTTCTTAGATATGTCCGTCCCAGCCAATTCGAAGAACTTCTTCCAAACTGCTTTCCGAGCATCCTTCTCCAACTCCGGATACTTGATACCAATTGAAAACCTAGAGAGGAATGCTTCATCGAAGCTTTGTATCCTGTTCGTAGTAAGGAACAAGACTCCACGATGGTACTCCAAGACGCGAAGGGCCACTGATACTAAGGAGTTGCGCTGCAGCTATGGTTGACAGCATTTGATTTACTATATATTCTATATGCTGAGTTCGAAAGCCTGAAGCTCACCTCATGAAGACTCTTTTGCTCCAGATAGACCTGAATCACATAAGTATAGGCCTACACAACGACGTGAAATAAGGATCACTGACATCAGCCTCATCTATCAGCAGGACTGCGTCCTAAGCAGTGGCCAGCTGGAATGGTAACAGTTATTAGCACAGGGAAAGGATGGCGGAGAGGAGCCGGTCAAATGCTAAACCGGCTTACGCTGAGAATTCCACGCAGGTTGTCCTCTAGGTCCTCAGGATCTGTCGATAACTCCGATGCTCCAACCATGTACAGCGGTCTTTGTAGGTACTCCGCCACTGCTTCAGCGGTTAGCGTCTTTCCGGTCCCGGGCGGACCATGCAGAACCGCTATCTATAGTTGTTCAAAGCATATGTGTGTATGTTCAGCTCGACTACTTGGGGAGGTAGTCTGGCACATACCAATCCTCCCCCTTTACCAGATATCACGTCGAAAACGATCTTTCGGGTTGAGTTTGCATTGCGTGTGACATCGACGAGACCTTTGATGAGAGTCTATCCCACCAGTTAGCAATAGCTATTGAATATTCAGGGAATGCGGCACCTTGATATTAGGATCCAACACTAAGTGACCCCAAGCTTTCTCGTCGAACTTTACTTCTCCTACGAGCTCAACGTTGAAGGGCATTCATTTCTGTGTGTCAGCTACTGTTAGTTATACGTATGATAGTCACAGATCATGGTACTAACCTTGCGGACCAGGTTAAAGCCGAATACATGTGGCCGCAGTAGGTGGAGACGTTCCATATCAAAGTCTGGAACAATCCAGTCGCTAGAGATCGTCGCAATCGTCGCAATGATTTCACGTTGAATAGTCTTGTGAAACTCGCTCACGGATCTGCTTGGTACCCATCCCTGTTGTCGTAGGCTCGTCGATCCACTATTACCCGATCCTGAAGGATGAACCAATGAACACATCATGTCAGGTCTTTCGAAGTAGCCGTTGCCTTACGCCTTTATCTGAATCAGCAAATATTAACTCGGTTCCATAAGCAATCGACAATCAACGATGCTCTCACATGTTTTATAGTGAACTCCCGTTAGGGAAACATATGTCTTCCCTCTCTCTGCAAGGGTCTTGGGTTACGTGAGATATTGAGGGCACACCTACCTAGAAGTTCATGCCTTTCCCCCGCAGTTAATGCAGTACAATCTAAGGCATCGAGGTCCACCGATCCCTTGAAAGGTTAACCTTCAACAGAGAGGTTTCTTGTAAGGATAACTAGGCGGATAGACCTTGTACTGTTCCAGTCTCCTTCTGATGCAGTATGTACTATACTGCAACCCATCCCATTCGTAGGCGGTTCCGTTGAGAGCTAAGTATGGCTTTCCAGAAATGCCTCTATTACCCGTACATCAGTGCTAATCGCACAGTAGAGGCACTCAATCTCACTCTTGATAACTCCTGGAAGTCAATATAAAGGCAATCTAGGGGTATCCGATATTAATCAACGTGGTATGAGTTATGATGTATGAGCCTAACCTGTTTGGATGGGTCATCTGGATCATATGTCAGATATTCCTCACCCGGCTGGAAATAGAATATCAGATGACTCCATTCAATCTGACCAAATGGAAGAGATAGGGCCATTCGTTCACCACTGCCACGGTGATACGAGTCAGATCAATGCAAGAGATCACTGGAGATGACTACGGACGTGGGCTCGAACTCCTGGTTCAAATATCCAATGAGGATATCACCGTGTCTTAAGACTGTGCTGAGAAACTCTACAGGGCCGCTATACCCGTCTATTACGCGCGCGCTTAGTCTAATCCTAACCCACTGGCAGGCTAGGCAACACACCGGTATTTTTCTTTTCGAAACCAATAGAACGAGCGTTTAAGGCAGTATCTCTTCAAGAGTGCCCTTCTTGAGTAACTGGGCGCGGATAACATCCATGCGTTTCCCCAGTTCTTTGAGGTGGGGGAAGAAATCCTCCAATACATATTCTGGAGATGTATCGAAGAATTCATCTCCGATTACGCCTCTGTTGGGCAAAAGTCTTCATGACATTCGGAAAAGGATTAGGACCACGCATACCTTAACAACTGCTTCAAGTGATCACTGAAACTACTGAGCACCGTCTTCGGTTTGTCTACGAGGTAAGCGCCTTCAGCTGTGCTTAACTTGGGCTGAAACGCCGCTACTCACTGAGAGGGGCCTCTCTCCGAAGGTTCAGGTAGAAGTACCCCTGTGGATCTGCCTGCGTCGGGGCAGGGGGATGCTTCACTGAACTGGGGTCAAACGGCACCCATTCATCCATTTCATCATCCCTGAGAACAGAGAAAATGTGAGGACCAGGAGGGTACCTATATTGATCTTCGATTGTATAACTTACCAGATCTGCTCCCTGCGGACGTAATGCTTCATAGACCCTAAAAATATTAGGTCAAACGTCACCGCAGCACGACCGTTGCATATCTCATACCTTCTCCCGTTGAGCGTGCATGACTAGGTGTGTTGTCTTCCTCGCCATCGTCCTCGCCGTTGTCCTCGCCGTCTTCCTCGTCGTTCGTGCTAGATTGGCTGAAGGGTCCAAAGGGCGGTCTATGATAATATGCCCAAGGAACAAGAAGACCTGAAAGTGCAACCGCAAGGAAAATCGGGACTATCTGCCTCGAAGTCATTGTAGCAGCCTGGAGTCGATATGCCAAACCCTACGAGCTTTATAAAGATCTGAAGGCGCTCGATACACAGCACACGACCATCGAACTCTGAACCAAAATGACTGGAATGGGGCTATCCGAATAGGGGATCCATGTCATTCCATGTACAGGACTATGAAAGCGCGGCTCCGAAAATATACAAAGGCTATTGCCAATTCCATCCAGACCCTAAGTCGTACACACAATGACGATACCACATACAGGCTGAGGGACGAATGTCCGCAGACCACAAACATTTGAGCGTCAAGCTTTGGCGTTGGCAAATTCGTCGAGAAACTTCTCTGAAGCCCTTACTACGACCCTGATGTGCTCGATAGATAAGCGCTCATTCCTGAAGGATGAGCTGGTGGTTAATGAATAGACACCGTGACATAGTCAGAGGGCACGTACGATGCTAGTGCAAGTGCCTGGGACGTGCGGACCAGATTTTTGATAGTGCGTCCTGATCACGCGTTTAGATGTAAAATTGAGGATGCTGTAGTACACACGATGACCTACCATTGAAAGGCTTTTGCGACAGCTCTTCTATATCTTCGGAAGAAATAGCATAGCTCTCTGCTGCCGACGGGGACACCTCGACGAGTTCCGAGTCACTTGAAGCCCTGCTCTGCTCTGAGGTGTTGGTCGCTATCCCGGCTAGCTCGAAAAATTTACGCCAAACGATTCGTCGAGCATCTTGATCGAGCTCAGGATATTTGATACCTGACTAAAGTTGAGTATCAGTACATAATTGGAGAGATCGTCTACGTGCCTATGGAAAACCGAGACAAGAAGGCGTCGTCGAAGCTCTTGATCCTATTAGTAGTCAGGAATAGAACACCCCGGTGATACTCAAGTACACGCAGCGCCACAGATACAATGGCATTACGGTCAAGCTGAGGACGAGACTCAGTAGACTGCTGCGTAGCACGGCTGCTACAGTATCACCTCGTGTAAACTTCTCTGCTCCAGATACACCTGTACAAGGTTTCAATGTTGTTGATCGCCGACAGAATCGAGCACATACATCGGCTTCATCTATCAATAGCACGGCATCCCATGCGGTGGCAAGCTTTAAGAAGGAGAATACAACGTTAGAACTAGCGACTATGCAATTTGAGAATTCATAGCGCTTACCTGCAGGATGCCTTGCAGGCTATACTCCAAACCAGAAGGCGACGACGGCAACTCCGAAGACCCGACCATGTAGAGGGGTCGACGCAAATATTCTGCCACTGCCTCTGCGGTCAACGTCTTGCCTGTTCCAGGAGGGCCGTGCAGGACAGCAATCTGGGTTGGTTCAGTGGAGATCTAATCAACAAACTGGTTCAGCATAGCTCACTAAACCGCCTCCTTTGCCCGATATAACGTCGGATATGATCTTCCTCGTGGAATTTACGTTCCGTGTAACCTCCACGAGGCCTTTGATGAGCGCCTAAAAGAGTTATAATTTTCGATCGATAACTGGGGCACACACAAACTCATCAGTGTATTCATACCTTTGTATCCGGATCTAGGACTAGATGATCCCAGGCATTCTCATCAAAGATAACGGGCGCGAGATGTTCAATGTGGAAGCTGGTCCAGCTCTGCAATACCGGAGGTCAATACAAGGATACTGACGTGTTATTGCCGTCACCTTCTGGCTCAGATTGAATCCATACACTGTCGGAGGCAAAAGATGCAGTTTGTCCTCATCCAGTTCGGGTATCACGAATTCGCTTGGACAGGAAGGGTCAGGACCACCGTTACCGAGGAGGGACCATAAAGACTCACGGGTCAGCGATGTATCCGCTCGTATTATCAAACGCCTTTTTGTCGACTATGACCCGATCCTACACAACCATTCTAGGATAGTCCTTCCGTGATAGCGACAGAACGTACTTTGAAGTCTACGGACTGTCAATCAGCGGTGCGGGCAACAGACAACCCACTCACATGTTCTATAATGCATGCCAGAGTATGAAGTATACAGACGGCCGCGTTCTATCCCGCAGTCACGCTCTACTAAATGCAATAAATGGCACAACCTGCCTACCTCGCAGCTTGTCCTGCAGCTCCACGGTCAACGACATGCAGGGAAGGGCATCTAAATCTTTCGTGCCCTGTACATTCTTAGTGAGGATAAATGTAAGAGATGCCGAACAAACCTTGTACTGGTAAATCGTACGGGAAAGGCTGTACTGGACGTAGCTGGACCCATCCCACATCCAGCCTTCACCTTCCAGCTGGAAGTACGGGTTTGACGAGCTCCTGCCCATTGCCCTCGCTTAGCATGTGTAGACTAATACATGTCCTACTCACATTTCGTAATACCGGTTGGTCAAAACAAAGGCAATCTACGGCATTGCAAGTGTGAAGTGTGAGAAGGGAGTAGCCTGCACGGAAGTCGCTTACCTTGTCTTCTTGTTCCGCAGAGTAAGTCGACTTTGGCTGGAAATAGTAAATGAGGAGGTCCCATTCGATTTGACCATACGACAACAGCAGCGCAAGTCGATCTGCGCTGGAAGGAACCTTAGGAAGACATTCGATTAGACCGGGTTCGAATTAGACGTACGTAGGTTGGAATTCTTCATCCAGATACGTCAGTAGCACTCCGACTTGCTCGACTACGTCAGCGAGGTACTGCTTGATAACATCATCTCCAAGGTGACCTAAAATGACTAGCAAGTGGGTTTCACTTCCAAGGCAAAATTGGAAGCAAGGGGCGCACCATATTCAGCATCGGTAGCACCTACGTCACGCGCTGCATCTCGTGTTTGATCTGCAGTAGCCTCGGTTGAGCCGAGAATAGACTGTACACCCTCCAACTCTTCGTGCAGTTTCTTCAGTTCAGGGAAGAATTTCTCCAGGTCGTATGTAACATCATCGTAGAAAAATTCGTCGCCTATGTGCTGTCTGTCGGGATAATTCGTAAGTAAGGGACTGACAATCATGTCATCTACTTTACGGCACCTGAGGAACGATGTTAGAATAGAACTGAAATCACTGATGACTGTGGTGGGCTTGGCTATATAGCGAAGTCAGTCTGACACGAGACTAGATGTCGCATCTCCTACCTGAGATAGTACGGTAACGCCGATTGACGTAGAAGTAGTTGTGTATATCCGAGCGTGGTGGCGAGGCTGGTAACTCCCCTCTTTCGAAAGGTATCCACAGCCACTTGGACTCAGACCTGTCGCAATAAATGTCACACCAGAGCGTTTGGGGAGACTCGCTGCGACGGTCATACCATAACTGATCTCTCTTCAGATAGTGAGATGTGGAAACTTGCTTCTCAGGCTCCGCGGACTCTCCTGGATCGTCCGAGACCAGTTGCTCATCCGGCGATTCTTCATTTTGAGACCATTCGACATTGTCCTGAGTGTTTGCTGCGACTTGATTCTGCTGCTCAATGTCATTGCCCCTGGCTGCTGAAATCCACGTGTAAGACCCATATACACGGATTAGCCAATGGGTCAAGAGAACGGAAATAGTAGAAGTTAATATGGTTGAGATGAGCGACATGATGGGCTTTTTGTGTGCAAAATACAGAGCATCCTGGCTTTTGTACCCTCCCAGCTCCGACCTCCAGGGCGCCTACCTCAGCGTCTGCATGAGCAACGTGTCCTTAATCGCCCAGAAACAAGGTTCAGCCATCATTTCTCATTTCATAAACGAATTGCAGCGGGCGTTCCAAGTCCGAGTGCGATTCAGAGTCAAACCTCGTTGCTGAGACTCAGAGTCGGACCCAGTGATGTCGCCTGCTAAACTGAGGTAGTCCGCTCTCCAGTACGTTCCAACGATGAGAAAGAAGGGGCGACAATAATATTGATACTCAAACGCCGGCATTCTCAGACAAAGTCGCTTAGAGTAGAACAAGCAATAGGATAATGATGGCGGAAGGAAAGCAAGCGAATGTGGCTGATTCAGGCCACGCCGCGTCTAAGTCCCTCCTTTCCTCCTACCACCATGCAGGCAGACGGTGCCGTCCTACGCTATCCAGAAAATCTAGGGATTCATGTAAACCTGACGATTGAAACCGCTTTGGCGATGTTGCTCAAGTCGATATCTTTGGCGGAACGAATGCCGTTTAGCTGGGGGTACATCGACCGGCCACAAGGTCTGCTTGGAGCTGAACAGACGTTTGCCAAATGCTGACACCTCTGCTAGTTAGACGGTCAAGTCTTCCTGATTTACATGCCGAACCCAGCGGTGTTTCCCAATGACGGGATTCGGTACCAGGACACCGAGTCGAAGGTGGTCATGCCGGCGGGGCCAGGTCGCGTCAGTCCACACCATTCGCGTCTTTAGCGCACAAACTGATGCGTAGCAGGAGCTGGAACTGGTCGAGATCAAATACGGGTTCATTCCCAACTCGGGTGAACACGTCGCGTCGCGCCTGCGGAGACGCTACCGCCTACAGCGCGGCGGGAACCCAGGGCTCTGCATTGTACATTACACCCGCGGGCCGTCCATGCGTGCGTTGCGTCCGCCTTCCCTGGTCCACCCGGCTCACTCTGCCTAGCTGTCAACCCGTCGCTCGTGTCCCAACCCGTCCGTGCGTACCCCCTACGAACGATCACCGAGCCCAACATGTACGTCGCGGGCGAGAAGATGCGGCAGCCAGCCTACCCGCCTGGGGCAGCCCCGGCGCCGGGCGTGAACTATGCGGGCGGCATCAGCATCCCACCCGGCGCGAACCCGCAGGCACTCGTCGCGCAACAGCGCAGCCGCATGGAGGCACTCGAGGGGAGGGGCGCGCGGGAACCGACGGCTGCTTTGGCCGGCGGAAGGCCGCCGCCTGTACGGGTTGAGGATGATGACTCAGGAGGTACGAGGTTCGGCGTCACTTTCGGCTGGTAACCAATTCCTCTGTAGACGAAGGGGATCAAATCTCCACACGGGCGCTGGCTCTGGCTCGATACCGCAGGAATCACGAGTTGATGAACGAGGTGTTCATGTACGCTGCCTTTGGCGAGAAAAAGACACCACCGCCGCCTCCTTCGTATTCTGCTCTCTTCACCAAGTCGGAGCTGGAAGAGAAAGCGGTACGTTGTGGCCCTTTTCTGTCACACAGCTTAGCGTAACGGTTGACAGGCCAAGCTCGTGGCGGAAGTAGAAGAGCTAAAGCAAAAAGAGATCAGTAGACCCTCGTTCGAAGGGGACGTCTCTATGGAAAGTGCAGGTGAACATGCTGAGGCATGATGCACGAGCGCCACCGTGTCTGTCGAAAGTCTTGCTTGTCCCCTTGTATTTGCCACATTGTCGGTCTCTTTGCTCTGCAATATTTATTCGCCCCCCAAATCCTGAACCCTGAACTGAATACTATTATACTACTATATCCTACACACTGCATAGAAGGTGAGCTACATACTACAGTACAATTACAACGAAAACGGTGCGATAAGTACAGAACGTGGGCGTATGATGCATGGGTATAGGTACAAACACGTAAAACGTACTACAATATGGTGCTTAAATACGCGATCCGCACGACTGATGGTATCCTGCTCCGCGAACGTGCGCCCGACAAAGGGCAAAACCATCGAGGGAAAAGTTCGATCAATTTTTTGCACAAGGCCATGAATTTTTAACTTGACTTCCTTGTCACTTGCTTCATGCCATCCGATAGCTGCGACCGGGCCCGAGACTCTTGCTCCTCCCAGAGGGCTTCATCGTAATGAGCGTAGGCGTATGCACGAACTCGCCCACCCCCTGGGACAGCGAGAACTTGACTGTGGGGGTCCCCGCACCGCCCGACCCGGGGACCATCAACGACCAGGGCTGATTTCCTGACGGAGGCATGCTATCCGACCTCCTGCCCGTCTTGCTCGCGCGCTGGCTACTCTCGCTGCGGCTACGATGCACGGGCTGCTCATCATGCCACAGCAGGGAAGTCTCTGGCCCTTGGCTACGTGTCCGCGGCTGCAATCCATCTGGACTTGCGAACCACGGCCGGGTTTCGTGGACGACATCCAGGCTCGTAGCTTCGCCCAAGTCCACGCCGGTGCGGATGTCCAACCCTAGAGGGGACGGCGCGAATCTCCTGGAGGCTTTACGTCCTCGGGAGGTATCTTCCCGCTTGCCGGACGTGCCAACCATGTCGACTGGCGTGATAGGGATAACACTAGGGCTCGGAGACCGTGATGAAGAATCTAACTGTTGGAAGGTGGCGTACTGAATGGAGTCGCAACGGGGTCTCCTGCCCCGCTCGTGCAATGGCTCGGGCGACAAGGGTGGGGACGTCAATAGCGCAGAATCACCGTGCAAGCCAGGGGCCGACGAAGTCAATGATGCATTAGATGAGACGGTATCATTGGATGAAGCAGGACTGAGGATCGCCTTGGTAAGAGCGGAAAATGATGGTGAACGTATCCCGCGAGACTGTCCTGACGTCGAAGAGCGCGAGGTGCTACGACTGATCGCTTCTGCTCCGCTCGAAGGTGACAGTCCTTGGCGTGCGCGGGATACCGACCGATCTGACCGCCGACTGAGCGGCGTAGGCACATTCGAGCGATGCAAGTCAGCTGGGCGAGAGTGGGACCGCGAGCGCGACTTCGACTTCGATGCCGTCCGCTCCATCTCAGCTGCACAGACCTCTTCTGTAGAGGGAGTAACGTCGTCCCCGGCGGCACCCCAACCAACGCCCCAGGCGACATCGTCGACCATCGCAATCGTCCATCGGTTAGACACGGATCGCTCAAGGCAGCCCTGCAGCACCTGCTCGGCGCCGCGTCCGATGCCCGAGGGCATGTCGTATACACCTATTCATGAAATCGAAGTAAAATCTCAGCGCCAACTGCTCCAGATACACCCGTACGTACCATGTAAAATCTTCATTTGTAGGCGGGGCTCGAACGAGTCCATGAACGGTAGGCGTCCGGTCAGTAGAGCGTAAAGTAAGACACCGAGTGCCCACATATCTTGTGCTGGGTGCGGTCTGAGAGGAGCTGAGTGCGGTAGAAGTAACTCGGGAGAAGCGTATGGGAGCGACCCAGGGTTGAAGACTTCTGGCTGTTTTGTGACTTCTGCAGGATAGGGAGAAGATGACGGGAGAGGGGACGAATTGCGATACCTGGGTCCACTATGGTGCCGGAGAAGGTGAGGAGGCAAGCCCGGCTTGCTCTGACGGAGCGAAGAATGCGCGCGTTGCCGCTGGTACTGCTCGTTCACCTCGTCCACGCCCTCATCCTCACTCGAAGTCTCGTCGTCTAACTCGCCAATCTTTGCAGTCATGCCAAAGTCACCGATCTTGCATACACCCATGTCATCGACAAGCACATTCTCAAGCTTGATATCCCGGTGCACGAGCCCCGCCACCTCGTGCAGGTACCTCAAGCCTCTGACCACCTGCCTGAACATCATTCCTGCGTCGTCCTGCGCCAGTCCCCGCCCCTCCGCACTCTCCCGCTGCAGGATGTCAAACAACGTGCCCGCGGGACAGTAGAGCGTGACAAAGAAATCGGCGTACGCGGTGTGCACTGCGGAGAAAAGGGGCAGGATATGCTCATGGCAGAGGCTCGACCAGATCGACTCTTCGTTGCTCAATCTTTTACGGACGAGCGTCGGATTTTCTTGTCGGGCGACGTCTGAGCGGCGTACGATCTTGACGGCGACGGTGCCGCCGGTGATAGAGGACGCTTTTCTGATGGTCGAGAAACCTCCGTGGCCTATGATAGGACCTAGAGTGTACCCGCCAACCTCCTGTCCTTCGTCGTCTGGCAGACTCGAGCGTGCGCTCGAGACCGACGTCGAGGGGCTGAAAGCCGATAAGAACATGGCAGCAGGCGACATACCTGTGCTGCCCTCGGAAAAAGACATGGAAACGGGTGAAGCAGTAATGGGTAGAGGCTCTACCGCGCATTCAGGCGCCGAGGCGACTCTCGGGTGTACTGCGGGGCCCGCAGACAGCAGTTGCTGTGAAAGCTCTTGCTCCGGGTCGACAATCGTAGCATTTTTGTCTTGTGACCGATCCCCCCGCTCGACTTGGTCGACAGTATAGATCTTCGGTAATTCAGGGCGGGAATTCGAAGGCGTGGGTAGACCGTCGAAGACGCTGGAATGGAAGGGCCATTGGGATTCTTGGACAAACGTTCCCGTCGTTGTCATATACGTCGTCGAAAATGTGTTGGAAATTCTGCAGGTTGATGGTCGAGAGCAAGCAGTCTGCTTTGCGAAGTATAAGTGTTAAGCTTCTAAGTAAGGGGGAGCGGGAGGCCGTTCGGGCCCGAAGATCCGACCACATCCGGCGGTCCACGCGGTGACTTGGCCCGGACGACTCCGTATATGTTTTTCCCGCGCCTCCGGTATGTCAATTCCTTGGGTACAGTCGACTCTCCCTTAACCCATACCTCTAATAACCCATAACCTCTAATAACCCATACATTTTTGCGTCCACCGATTTGGTTCCTAATTAATCGTCGCGACAACCCATAACTCTCTGATACCCCATAACCCATACCTTCCTGGAGGGTCCATAACCCATAAATCATCCTATTATCAGCTCAATCAGACCCATATCGACCACCATTTACTACTTTTAAAACATTTACTATGGAGTTGTTCGATACTCCGACCCAGAAACGATACCAATATGGCAGTGGGCACCCATACCAGGCGACATATAGCATGATGTGGACCATCCGGCATATGCCTCGCGCCCTGCCACATGTCACGCTACCCGCCGATGTCACAGTATGTCACACTCCGGTAACCCATAGTCTCCGAAAACCCATACCTTTCTGGGTCCACGGACCGCTATGGGTTATGGGAGAGTCGACTGTATCGCGTAAACTGCCCTGGCAAACAGTAGTACATAATCGCATTCACATAGCTCTATCTACTCCTTAAAGCGGGTACTTCAGAGAAAGTTCCGTTATGTAAGAAATGCCTTCAGCCCTGTAGGTATCGTCGGTTACTTCTCTCGGCGTCAGACCATCCAGGAACGTCATTTGTTTTGGGGATGCGGTCGTGTACTGTGGCCACTGGAGAAGGTTGGCTTTCCCGTTGGGATCGAGGTTATTGACGAACTGAACAAGGTAGCTCGTCATGTCTCCCCCTGCGAAGACATTCAGAATGTCTGTTGCATGTGCCTATGGCAGGGCCACGACATCAGGGTCATATTCCACTGTAAGGAGCATGAAACAGTGCGCACCGATCCGAGAGCTGGGAAAGCCTTCAGGCGCTTGCTCACTGTCCAGCAACTGAATTACCATGGATCATGAGATGGCGACAAAACCAGTACGCACGGAAACTCCAGGCTTTCTGCGCCCCGGCCTGCTTCTGCAGGAAGAATCGGCGAGGAGCCTGGAAAACGAGATCGCCTTGGATGCCCGCTAGTCGCTTGTACTGTGGCGTCAGCGCGTTAAAGATACCCGTATCGTACGGCGAGCCATTGGTGATGTCCGCGGTGTAGTACGTTAACAGTTTATTGACCTCATCAGTCGAGGCTGCTGGCATGTAAGTGTCGTGGATGTACGTGCGCGTTTCACTGTCAGTGCTTTGCATTTCACGGGATATCAGCAGCAGTGGCGGGCAATGCTGCGGGAAGACTTACGTGACATTGAGATTTGTCAGGGAGAACAGTGTCCCTTCGTCGTCGCAGTCGCCTATGGAGATTTATGAGAGACAGATGGATTAACCAAGCGCTTCGGCATACCTGTAATGAAGGGAACCTTTGCCACGCTCCCTGAAAGGACCAGATTTTGGGGAGTGTCCGTTAGGAACACTCCGTCCACCCGAGGTAGCCAAGCCAGATTCAATGACTGTATTACCGGTCTTCTAGTCACCTCACCCGTGAATAGCAGGACTCGGACATACCTGATACGAGAAAATTCCCGGCGTTGCATCGACAGCCTTCTGCAGGGTATTCAAGGGAACCCCTCGCAAGCACTGCAAGGTGTCAGAAGCACCAGAGCACCCAGTGGCCGCCACTATGGAGTCATAGTACTTCTGACCATGCGATATGTCGCCCACTGGGATGGGTGAGCCAGATTCCATGAACGCGCCTCGGAAGAGACCCTCGGTGTTACCGCCATTCGTAACCATTTGCAAGGCTACCGAGATTGCTCCGGCGCTTTCACCCCAGCTACAGGGCAATGTGAGTGCATATCAATGCGAATATTGACGCTTCATACATTGTGACTTTACTAGGATCCCCACCGAACAGCCCAATATATTTTTGGATCCAGCGCAATGCCTCGCGCTCTGACATTTCCCGTGAGTTAAGGCTATGCCATACCGAGTAAACTTCGCTGAACTCACGATCTTGGAGCCCAAGGTTTCCTACTCCAGCAGCCTTCACTTCGGAGCCGGCCAAGAAACCCCAAGCTGTTTGATGCTTGTTAAGGATATCTTGCGGCTTCCGAGGTCATTCACGTACCTGAGACGCTGAAGACGGTTCAGCTTCGACAGCATCGCAGACCTCTAGATACATACCGATAATTTATGCTTACAACTACAACTGGTTCATTGAGGTCGAGTGACCGCTGTACTATTCCTCCACCATCATAGATCGATGTCCCACCGATCTCGAATCCACCTAGACGGGTTGATTAGATATGCATCGGACACAAGGTTCCTTCGCTTACCTCCGAATATCCACTGTAGCAGCCATCAATTTCATTAGACACTGACTGAACCAATTGGGGAGTTACACACCATAGCGACTGGGAGTTTGGAATTAGGAGTTGCCGAAGCAGGCGTCCACACGTTGAGATGAAGACCTATCCAGAAGTAAACATGAGCCTATAGAGAGGGTACGTGGTTGACTGCCTACGTACAGTCTTCACCGATCGGACCGGTTATGAGGCGATAGGCGGTATTGATAATGAAATTGGTTTCGTTCGCCAGCAAGCCATTTCCCAGAGGCAGGTTTATGGCCTGCTGAGGGCATTCATTTCCGAAGCTCGTCGCATCGTAGGAGCCGGAGTACGCAGCCACCGATTGGGGTAGGTTGAAGCGGAGGTCACCAGTCCTAGAGGAATTGCATTTCACATTACAGCCACGGTTCTCATACGAGATCGATTAGGACGACGTACGGAGGCTGAGCGTAAGGGATGCCCAGGAACTTGTTGATTTTTCCCGACGCAACACCGGTGAACGTCCCACTGTCGAGAGTCACCGTAGGTGCTGAAGCTCTGGGAGCGGGAGCAGCAAGGACTGCGCTGCTCGCAAATGCTCCCAAGCACGCCAGGAGGACTCTGATAGCCATGGGTGACGGCACCAAGGGAACCTAGTTCCTGGGGCTGCGTGGTAGGTCGCCCACCCCTTAAGAGCGGAAGTCGTGTTAGCGGTGCCGGCTTTGCTTCCTCCATAGAAACCATGTACCTTTCTGCTGACGGCGGAAGCACAACATTGACTGCTTGGCTGCAGTATCCATTATCAAAATCTAGCCGTCATGGGACCATCTTGGGAAGTCTGGTCGTTGCTGATGCAGGGCCACGAGATTCTGCAGCGGCCTTGGAACTGCATATCCCCCATCACTACCACACGGTTGTAAGTCACTAGACCAAGGTTCGCTTAGGAGGCGCGCTTACGAAGGAATAGCGGCGGCGGTATTCTTGCTAAATATCAATGTGCACTTTATCAGAAATCAAGTGTCAGCGTCCAAAAAGATGCGGGGGAGGCTGTGATAACGCGGGGAAGGGTATGCGCAGCCCGATAGGTTGGACGGATCAATTCTGGAGAACGTGCCTCAGATATACTTCCCAGGCCTGCGCAGTCAACTCGATATCATACGGTATATGTATGTGCGAGACTTCGGTGTTTGCATGGTCGTGCGCTGTAGTTTAAAAGCCCTTGAATCGTACCTGATGAAGTGCTACATCATGCATAAATACAGCTGCTCAAAGAGGGTATTTAAGGGATAAATTGGTGAGGTAATCGAAGCCCTCAGCCCTGTAAGTGTCCTGCGTGATTGTCAGTGGCACCAGCCCATCTTGGAGGGTCAGGAGTTGAGGAGACGATGTAGTGTATTGTGGCCATTGCAACAGACCGGCGGCGCCATTCGGATTGAGGTTGTTCGCGAACTGAACAAGGTACGTGGTAAGTTCCTGGTCACCAAATACGTCGAGGATATCTGTGCCATGAGCCTGCGAGAGTCTCATGTCAGTGGAATCTCCCTAGAACATGCAGAGAATTCACGCACCGATCCGAGGGCTGGGAACGCCTTGAGACGTTTGCTCACTAAAGCCTGTTTGAATCCGAGGCTTCAGAGTTACCAACGCTAGCACTCACGGAAGCTCCAAGTGGGCTGAGAGCCCGAACGTTGTTGCAAAAAGAATCGACGGGGCGCCTGGAAGACAAGATCTCCTTGCATAGAAGCAAGTCGCTTATATTGCGGGGTCAATGCATTGAAAATGCCGGTATCGTAGGGTGACCCTGAAGCCGGATTTGCCGGGTAGATGGACAATACTTCGTTTACTTCTGCAGTTGTCGCCGCCGGGATGTAGTTCTCGTGGATGTAGGTGAACAATTCTGAGTCGGTTCTACACAAGCCATGTCAAGTTCTGGCTCCTGTGAGGCTACGCTTGACATACGTCACGTTCAGGTTAGTGAGCGAAAATAGTGTGCCCTCGTCATCGCAATCACCTGTAACAACTGGTTGGATCTAAGTCTCAAAGGCGAAGATTCTGCTCACCGGTGACAAACGGGATATTAGCCACGCTTCCTTTGAGCACCAGGTTCTGAGGGGTATCAGTCAAGAAGACGCCGTCCACCCGGGGAAGGTAAGCTAATCTGAGAGACTAGGTAACAACACGATGATCAGGCAGCCTATATTTCCACAGAAATATAGCAACCTACTTGATACGAGAATATGTTGGGAGTTGCGTCGACGGCCTTCTGCAGCGTATCCTCAGGGACACCTCTTAAACATTGCAGCGTATCAGACGCGCCCAGGCATCCCGTGGCCGCCACGATCGAATCGTAATAAGTCTGGCCGTGAGAAATGTCCCCGACGGGTATCGGCGAACCTGACTGCATAAATGCACCGCGGAATAGACCTTCCGTATTTCCTCCATTGGTAAGCATGTGCAGCGCGACTGATATGGCACCGGCACTCTCGCCCCAGCTGAGGGATTGTACGATTCAATACCAGACCAGCGTGATCAGAAGTATCATCTCACATAGTAACTTTGCTGGGATCACCGCCGAATGCAGATATGTATTTCTGAATCCAGCGCAAAGCTTCCCTCTCTACCAATAACACAGGTGCGGTGAATGTAAGCGAGATCAACAGAGAAAACTTCGGACGAAGGACAACTCACGGTCTTGTAATCCGAGGTTACCGACTCCAGCGGCTTTGACTTCAGAGCTCGCCAAAAATCCCCAAGCTGTCCAATTGGACTTCAGCGGAGATGCCAAATAGTATGTTCAGCCACTTACCTGAGACGCTGCGAGATGGTTCAGCCGCATGAAAGAAATTTGGCTGAGGGCAATGCACGACTCACCGGTAGTTCATGCTGACTACAATGGTTGGCTGACCCAGGTCTATCGACTTCTGAGCTATTACGCCACCATCATACAGAGACGTTCCTCCAAGCTCAAAACCACCTGAAAGTAATCAGAAGACATACTCTAAGCAGGGAAACAGACAACACGATATGAGCATACCTCCGAAGATCCACTATAATAGTCTTCAGAATCGCCACAGCACTGTACGTGGGGAACATGACTTACCACTGCGACAGGCAGCTTGGAGCTAGGCGTCGCGGTTGCAGGGACCCAGACGTTCAAGTTCAGACCTGGACACCGGGCGTAAGCATCATTTGCTAAACATGTGTAGGAATATGCAGTTTACAATCTTCACTGACTGGGCCAGTGACGGCGCGGTAGATGGAATTGATTATGTAGTTCGTCTCATTCGCCACGAGACCGCTTACAAGCGGCAAGGTGATAGCCTGCTGAGGACATTCATTGCCGAATGACGTCACCATTGTAGGATGGGATCGGCTGGGGGAGATTAAAACGAAGGTTTCCGGTTCTTCCGTAATGGGGTGCCACGGTGAGCACTACTCTAAGACTACCGGAGCAACCGAGTGAACGATACTTACGGAGGTTGTGCGAAGGGAATGCCTAGGAACTTGTTAACATTCCCGGAGGTCACACCAGTGAATGTCGCGGAGTCGAGAGTCACTGTAGGTCCAGTAGCTCTCGACGTTGGAGCAGCAAAGGTTGCACCAGCAACGAGCATGCAAACCAGGAGAGTCCGGAAAGGCATTGCTAGAGGGACGGAAGCACTGTGTTTCCGTTGAAGATTTTACTGGCCAATGTCCAGTCTTTTATAACAAGACCGCCATCGGTACCGCGATCTTCGCGTCCTGGTTTTAGAACCTGAGGGGTGTGAACTAGCCTTCGACGGGACAGAGCATCATCGAAGACGGTGGCTCGGATATTGTCCATCATATGGTCGTAAGTCACCCGGTCAACGGGCCCGAGAAGGGCAGCCTGTCGAGCCTCGAGTCATACGTTTGAGGAAGTTCGGGCGCGGAAGCTGTGAGCATACGACACAAAACTCGCCTGACAGGCTATTCTCGGATTCCCGCCCAAACTGCGGAGAGTGTAACAGCAATTTCTCGGTTGATGTCAAATCAGCCATTCCGACCCCTAGGACTCGACGGGTAGGGCGATCACACCGAGTTAAAGGACCTTTCACTCAAGGTGGCAGCATAAATGCGAGACCCGATCCCGTCTCAATCAACCTGCAAAGGATCCAGCGCACGGTACAGAATCCCTGCGCCTACCCCGGTTCCCAAGAATTTATCACGAGCATTTGGAGAGTACACCGATATACGGGGATGAAAGCTTTTAGTGATGCGAAATCGAAGCATTGGCAGGTCACGCACCACAGTTCTGACATATTTAGACGTAGTGCAACACATGGTGCATGGTTCGCGGGACTACAGTGCTCTGCGGGAGCATTCATTGCACGGGATGTTGTTCCGAGCGACTCGTATATCACCGGAACGTAAAGGTGAACGCGCCACCTCGACCAAACATAGAAAGGCTATCATAAGAGCTTATCTGGTGAGAGCAGGGTATCACGGGAAGGACCCATAACAGCTGGCGACTTGCAAGGTAAGGGCTCACCTATCCCCTTAGCACGACGACTGACATCCCAAAAGCGAAGGATTAGAAGAACGGTGCGTCGTAACCGATGTCCATCTCACAGTCAGATTAATGTGCACATTTTGACCCTACAACAAAACACGCATGACGAGTGACACCAAAGCAACAACAATAGCACCCGGCACAGGTCGAACCATAACAGCACCACTCTTCGCCCCAGACTTGGTATTCTGTTCAGCTAAGAGGCTCGGGCACTGCGGTGCAACGAGGACCTTGCCGTAATTACTCGCGATCCAGAGTACCACACCATTCGTCCATCCGAAACCAGCCTGGCAGGACATTAGACAACGGATTGGATATTTCAGGTGACGCCGAATTTCGTACCTGTACGGTATATTCCCCACCAGAACCGGCGGAGTCGATGTTGTTGTTAGAAAACTTCTCGAACATCTGCGCGCCAGCATCAGTGTTGAATACCATAATGCAACGAAACAAGGCAACCGCACATTTCCGGTGTTATTCACACTCTGGGTGATGTTGAGCTCCTGCTCCGATAATCTCGGTAGAATCCCGGGAATGGAGCCTCCTGTCGCATACCTGTAGAGGAGACCATACACGTTTCAGTTCAACTGAGGACGACTCCCGAAAGAAATACCCTAACTAACCAGCTACAGAGCGCACCGGCAAAGTACCTGTTCGCCAACTCCCTCTGGAGAGCAGCTGCCCATCCTTCGCCTTCAGTAGCGTTACCACCGTTCACAATAGTCCCGCTCAGCGTATTGATGTCCGCCTTCGATCCTGTCTTGGTCGCGTTGCTGCTAGATCCAAGAATAGGCTGCCCGGGCAGTTCTGACTCCTCCAACCCTAACTGCCCGGAGGGAATCAAACTGAAAGTAGACTGACCCGAGGACGGGGAAGGGAGTGAGTTGGACGTGAGGTTCGACGGGAGATTACGCAGGGCCTCGAGTGCGATGTACTGATGCGGCGGCCAGGCGTTCGGCGCATCCCACTGCAGGCCAGTCTCCAAGAACGTCACCGGGAACGTGCCGTTATATCTGTTCAATACCAGATTCAGCGCGGCGAACATGCCGAAGGCCTTGCTCTGGTCGCCAAGCGCCTCGTCAGGGATGATTCCACTCCATAGAGGGTAGAACGTGGCGGCAGAAAACAGGGCGTTGCGCGAGCTGGACGTGAGGTTGAAGTCGTAGAAGGCGAGTTTCGAGGGGTCCCAGTGGAGGTCAAGGATGCCCGACCTCAGGGCGGTGGCAGCAGCTCGGTGGGAGTCCGCGAGGGATTTTGCAGTGCCGTTGGACGCGGTGTAGAGATCCGCCAGGAGGCTGTGCGCTTTGTCTGTACGAGCAAGGTGAACCGCGGAACTTGACGAGCGCCTTCGTGGGACTCACAGAGTATGCTATTAAGGCAGATTGGTACCGTATTCCTTACATTGAGCGAGCGCAATATGGGGTTGGTATTGTTGGAGCCTCCGGCAAACGGTTGGGCCGTCCATCGAGACGAGTAGTCCCAACCTGTATGTCAATAAGCACGCATATAAGACCGTCGAGTAGTGTCCTGACTCGCCTGTCTCTGCTCCGCTCGCCAGCTCGGCATACAGGGCATCGCGTTCAGTCTCATTGAGGGGGGTCTCAAGCGTAGGGTCATTAGCGGTCAGATAATCTGCGCGGGAGGTGTTACTCCGAAGATATTCTGTGATTGAAGATGATATGCTTAACGTACCCGTGAGGTATGATTCGGGCCGCGGAGCACTGTTCTTGACGGCGTAGTGATACATTGTATGGGTTTGCTGCGTGTAAGGGCTTGTGACATTCACAGAGCGGTTATCCAGCCACCACTGCAATTCGCGCTGCGGAAAAGGGACTGTGAGATGCAAAATTGGGTTTATCGAGAGCAGCTCACTTCGGCTAAAGGCAGAGCACGCTCTAATATCGTGGTGTCGTTTGTCGCTGTGACATAGCTGGAAAGCATCTGTAGACACATGTATTAGCTTGACCTATACTGGAGAGGTACACCTCCTTACATGAATGAAGAGCGGTGGCTGCGACCGGTTGAGGTCTTCCAGAAGTTAGTCCACGACCACCTGTAGTTCACAAGTAACCGACTCACAATATATCCGCCCTCCGTTCGGAATAAATCCAATCGTCTCTAATTCATCCATGAAATTCTGCAGCGTGGAGTTGACGATGTCATATAGTTCGGACTCGATCAGACCCTGCACGATCCAGAAGCTATCCCAATAGTCTGACCCAGCATATGAGTCCCACACCAAGCCGACCTGATGGTTTGGATTACTCACATTGCTCTCTGAACCGACCACCAGGAACGACAAAGGTATGGTTCAAGGGGATCAGCGAGCTCTCGCATCCACTACTAGTCGTTCCCTCTGAGCACAGCACCGAACTATTCGTTTCCCGAATCAGCTGCGTCCAGTAACCATGCACCGTCTGCGACCACGCCTTCAGTAGCGGATCTGTCACATTTTCCAGGAAAGCCGGGTTCGCGTTAAAGTTAGTCAGCGCGAGCGCCTCGAGCTCCAGTCCTTCTCCACCAAAGTCGGTGTCCACAAAGTTCTCAATGGCACCCTCAGTCACGCTCGACCCGTTCAAGGAACTAAAGTCGGAGAGCACTTGCTGGGACGACTTGACCGTCGGCTTGTCCACGAACGTTTTGGGATCCGCGTAGAGCCACGCAATATTCACAGTTTGCAGAAGCTACGGGAATATGAACTTAGCGGAAGGCATACCGGCGTGATGTGCTAAAAGAACTCACCTCACCCGCACAAAAGATCTCACTAGGGCACCATGTCTGCTTGGGAGGCAAAGCTACTTGCGATGGCAAGGTAGCGCTGAGCGGTGCTGACGGGCTAGCCACAGCAGTAGAGACCGACACCGGTGATGGGGAGAAAGCAGGGGATGTCGTAGTCGTCGCGCCCTGAGGGGCAGCGTTGACTACCTGTAGGAACGCTACAAGTCCGCCCAATATCGCTAGCGCCATCGCGAACACTGAGGAGCCCGAGCTTGAGACCACCGCAAATAGCGCCTGTGTCGTCGGGAATAGCCTGGACGTCGCATTGCTCCGACGTCCTCGCCACGATTTATAGTCGGCGCCTTACACAGTCGGGGCCAAGCACGCCGTTACACTAGGTACCGCTGTTACCGAAATACGCAGGCGCCGTATTTTTGGGTAGAAATGACGCAGACGATCATGATGCCCTTTGATATTGCTGGTCGGCTGACGCGCTCTCTGATGGCAGGCAACGATGCACCGAAACATTTTGGAACATTCAAGAAACGATATGCCAAGCAGCGGCCACAAGTAGAGACAGAATGTCTCAGAACACCTCGCGCGACATACTGTACGTGCAATCCTGTAGGTCTGTTCTGAATCATTTCACTCTGCAGCGCGACGCGACGGGATCTGTCGGGATAGCTCGCGGGGTAATTGAAATTACCCCGCAAAAGCGATCGTTGCGCTTGGTGGACATGTGAACCCCCCGCGTCTTTGCGCGACAGGCGATAGCAGGGAATACCAACAACGTGATAGCGCTGGCGTTTGGATAAAACTGCCCTCCTAGGTTCCTGTGGACTGCATCTCGTAGTTACCACCTACGAGATGCCAAGGGAAAGTAGCGCAAAAGTGCTCGTTTCTTGACCCTGTCACTCATGTCAGTAGACAGAAAGGTTAAGACTATAACACGTCGGACGGAAGACGGCTGATAGAAACATACTTGAATCTACACCGCTGCGCTCTCCCTAGCCTCCCTCTCCTGCCGAATCTTCTTCCATTTCGCAACCTCCTGCTGTCTCGCCTCCCGAGTGGCCATACGCCTGTGCACCTTTGTCTGTCGATGCGCCTCCCACTGCTCACCTTCCTCAATCATCACCGGCTCATCGGCCTTTGTGGTACACACTGGACAGACAATCTTGCGCCTTGCAGTGAGAATGGCACTGGGACTTAGTAGAGGAATCAGCGTTCCCCGCGTCCCCAAGAACATAGCACCGATTACCTACCTCGTCGGACGGTCCTGGACGGTGAGCATGACGCGAGCTGCCTCGGACAGGGATTGAGGATCGGGAAGAGGGTTACCTTCCAGAAAATCTACCGCGACACGTCAATGCCATAATTCAATGAAAAACTAGAGTTGAAATGTGAACCATGTAAGATCTCCTCAGCCATGTCCTTCACATTTGTGTTCCATGCCTGGTCAACGCCTGTCTAACAGGTAAATCGCAGCCAGGATATTAACATAGAGAGCTTACGAGACGCATCGAGCAAGTATACGGAAACGCATGACTTGTCCGTAGATTGAGCCGCATAAATAGCGGGTAGGAGCTTGTTCCGTATCCACCGGACTTGCCGATGCGCATATTGCCGCGTCGAGAGCTTCATGCGATCGACGGCTGCCTCGAAAGCATCTACAGACGGATTCGGAGAGTTCAGGTAGTGGTGAAACTCTTTGTAACCTGCAGCATGAATTAGCCACGGCACTGCGCTTGTCGGAAGAAACTTACCTATGGACTGGTATATACCCAAGGTGTAATCCACGCTATTGCTGCTGGTCCCCGCAGTTGCAATTGCCTGCAATTCTTTGATCTCGTCAAGCAGGCCTTGCTGGATGAGTCAGTTTAGAAATATTGAAATGCCAGCGGGAGCGCACTCACCTTGATCATCTCATCGACGCGGGCATCCAAGCGTACATTGAGGACGGAAGGCTCCGCATACAGCCAGAAGCACAACGTATGATACCTGATGATAATCACGTCGTACCTCCTTTATAATATCAGGATATATGCGCATTGACGGACCTGGGTTGTACAGATATACTAGACTGTTCGCTCCACACGTCGCTCGGCCTGCGACCCGTCTCCTTGATGATTTCGAGACTACGAAGGACCTTTCTCGTGTCTTTCCAGTGCCATCGTGAAGCGACAATGGGGTCCAGAGCGTTCAATAGAGAGTGCAAGCAGAACGCAGCCTGAGGGTCAATCGAAGCGTCCGGGGGTTCTTCCGGCAATGCATATATTAGTTCTCGGAGCTCTTGAGGAAGCTTCGAAACATGCTCCAACAGTTCTTCCGACAACACGATGTCCCCCGCTCTACCGCGCGGCTCGGTCATTTTAGCCAGTCTGTCAGGGAAGATCAAATGCTGCATCCAATATGCCGTCCCGCCAACGACAATAGGTATCTTGTTTTGCGAATGCGTCTCATTTATCTGTACGTCTTTTCGAGTCTATACAGAGCAAAGACATGACCTGTAGAATAAACTCACTGCGTGAACGGCGTCTTTGACCCATTCCCCGACAACATACTGTTCGCCGGGCCTCTTGAAGCTCATGAGCAGATGCTCGACGCCCTGTCGCTCGCGTTCAGGAATCTTGTTCGTGATAACATCCATTCCGACGTAAACTTGCATGGAGTCCGCATTTATTATCCGAGCACCGTTCCAACCATGTTTCCGCATCCCCTTCGTACGGGAAAGTGCCAAAGCCAGTTCAACGGAAAGTTGGGACTTCCCAACGCCAGTCGTCCCGCATATCGCAATTAATGGTCGTGTGTTCATGGACGCTAGGGACAGAAGGGAAGTCAGGAATGGACATATGGGAGGTAACGTCACGAATATATGGAAGTGGGTGTAACTGTCACGCTCAGTCTTGTTCTCTCCGTCCGAGTCGCTGCCACTGTCGACGTCCTCTGCCGCTCCCTACTATTAACCGCTGCTTGTACGTCTGACGCGCATATACTGACTTATCTGCAAGAGCGTGGCCTTGTATTTTATTTGTATGCGTAACGTCAGTTGTTAGCCTAAGACACTGCTGACAAACGAAAGGGATTTAGCCGCCTACTGAACACTTCGTCGTTGCGCTCAGAAACGTCGAGCAGCTAGTCAAGATGCAGCCCGCACCAAATCGGCTAGGACTAGGCATGCGTCCTCCTTTGCCGTCGTACGGCCAGGGTCCCTCAATGCAGGCTCTTGCGCAGCAAAGCCAGATGGCACACCACCCTGCGTTTATCCCGCCGCAAGCCCACAAAAGTATCAATATGTTCATTGGATCGATATCTGCAGGGATTCAGGACTCATTCATGAACGCGCTGCTCTCTGTTAGTCTCCCTATCTTATCCGCAAGTGGCAGCATCTCATGTGTCTGGCAGGCGTGCGGGACAGTAAAGCAATTCAAACGGCTTATCACGCCTGCAGGTAAGCCCCAGGGCTTTGGTTTTGCAGAATTCGAGGATCCGGACAGTGCACTTCGTGCCATGACGCTGCTGAATGGGGTGGAGTTACCTGCATTGGAGGATGGTTCCATGAATAAGAAGCTCCTGGTACGTATCTCCTTGTGCTTCATGCTCTACTGGATATCACGAAAATCGTGTTTCTAGGTCAAGGCTGACGAGAAGACAAAAATATTCTTGGATGCATACCAGGCGCAGCGGATGAAGACCGATGTGTGTCCAATTACATCCATTATATGCACTATTATTGACATACCTTGCAGGAAGATGATGCTAAACTGGCCTCCGCCAAGGCTAGAGTGGATGCATTGGTGAATGACATCCATAAAGCTTCTCAAGAAGCCGTTCAGAATGGATTGATAGAAAGAGAGAAATATGTCATTCCTCCGCATCTACACGATCTTCAAGAGGCAGATCTGCCAGAAACCCAGCGCGGTCTAGTCATGAACGAGATTGCCCAGTTCCGGGAGAAAGCCGCCAAGCGAGAAAGGGAAAAAATGCGGGACGTACAGGCCAGTATGCCTGCCGTTCTAGGAGCGCCGAGCGGACCCAAGGTGCGGGAATGGGGGAAGCCGTCGCCGACTGCGGGGCACTCGCCTAGCCCAGGCCCCAAAGGTATGGGCCAAGGTCCACAAGGATATGGTAAAGCTCCTGGGTTTGTTAAGGGAAGGGAGGGTAGTGTTTCTTCGGTGGACGATGAACGGGCGGCTGCGGGCAAAGCTCAGAAGACAGACGAGGAATTGGAACAGGAGAGAAGAGAAGCTCGGAGGCGCGACGAGGAGAATTCGTACCGAGACGTGAGTATCCAGTTCTTATCGCACTTCCTGTGCCTTGCTCAAATACTGTCGTTTGCCCACCAGCGTGAGCGTCGTTATGAACCTCGTGAGCGAACGCGAATACAAGCCCTTGAACGCGCAATCGCACGGGAGCGGGCAGTTAAGGAAGCTGAAGAACGCGATCGAATCGAAATGCGGTCCCGGCTTGACATCTGGGATGATGACGAAAGCGATGAACTGTTCTATACGGATCGGTATGTCCAATCTACTTATTGCGAACGGCTCCTTCAATTCATTCGTCGATAGTTCTCGGTGGCGTCACCTTCGAGCTCGGAGATTAGCCGCAGAAGAGGCCGCGGATGCCGAGTCGCGTGCCTACGAAGAACGTGAAGCAGAGAATCTACGCCGGGAGTCCGAGGCATTTTTGGCTCGTCAGATGGAGGAGATGCAGGCCTTGCAAGATGAGCAGCGCAAAGCAGGCATGCTCCTGGATGACGGTGCGCCTGTCAAATTGAATATGTCTCTCCAAGCGGCTGCCGCTCCCAAGGCGGAAGCCAGCGCAAAGGAGAAGCCCGCTGTTGTCTTCAGTAATGAAGAGGAAGAGGAGGAAAGTGTTCGTAAACGGAAGGTTCCGTTAGTCAAGCTGGACTTCAGCGCGCAGGAAGGTGAAAAAGCAAAGGAGAGACTGGAGAAGATTCGCGAGGCCGTTCCGAGGGATAAGGATACGCTCTTTAAGGCTAAAGTCAGATGGGATGGACTATCCGATGTACGTCGTAGACTTATCATGAAGTCCGCAAAGCTAACCCCTTCGTTAGACCATCATCGATCGGAAGTTCGAGCCACTAGTTAAACGGCAGATGGTCAAATTCTTAGGCGAACTTGAAGATGATGACCTTATTATGTTCTGTCTGGAACACTTGAAAGACCACAAGGGACCGAAACAACTGGTTGAGGGTCTTGAACCGGTGCGTCCATTCACCATGTTGTTTCTGCTAGCATTGCGACGTACTGTTATGGTGGCTCTGTTGCTCACCTTTGTGGACTCAACAGGTTCTCGAGGAAGAAGCATCGGAACTGGTCATCAGCATCTGGAGACAAGTCATATTCGAGAGTATGGCATATGGAGAAGGTCTACATACGGAAAGAATGATGGTTGACTCATAATTGCTTGCATACCGAGCGGGGCAGGTGCGTTGTACGGCAGTGTCGAGAATATGGAACGTTACGTTACAGCAGTCATTATTCGCACCCAAGTGAAGTGATGGTATGTCAAGCAGCGGCTGTTGGGTCTCATGGGACTCTGTAGTGAGTTTGCCTTTTGATCATACGGCAGAATGTAATGATATTGCTTTCCATCTCGTATGTATGATATCACTGGAAGGATGTTCTGCTTTGGCGTCTGCAGGTGTATGTCTTGTCACCGTTGAGTTTTCCAACTTTCACCGGTCTTATTGATCATCTCCTCTGTTGGAAGTCGTGGGTATAACTTGGAAGACGTGCATGATGTGGATAGCATGCTTGAACCATGGGGCAAATGCTAAGTTCCGACCGTCTATTTCTGCTCGGGTTCATTTGATGCGCCATAATCCCAGGTCAAGTATAAGACTGTCGCAACTCAACCAACACCTTGATCCCGATATCCGACCAAGCTATGAAACAGCACGTCTGAGTCTTGACGCCGTACAATTGCAGGCTTACTTTCTTGGGACATCTACGTCACGCAGGTGAGTGTATAGTGACTATGTGCTACACCTGAGGTCCATTTTCGCCTGCACTCTTGCATGCCGCCGGGTGGGCCGGAGCGGCAGGTCGATCGCCTCTTGCTCTGGACTGCCCTCGCGTCTTATCCGTTGGCCTCGTATTTTCGTCTGTGCGCATTCAACTTCGTACATAGGTAACGGGTCATGCCCTGCTATAGATCTAATCGTCTCTATATAATACACGTCGCGGATAACGACAGGTCCCGCAACGCAACGAAATGGGTCGGGTCAAGAAGTACGTGTCTGGGGCAGGTTCAACCGCAGTACACCCCCACTGCTCAACTCAATCAATACATGTGCCAGCCCGAAATTGAGAATATGCCACTTACTGGGACATCCTAGGGTAGTCCCGTATACGCTACCGGAGACACCAGCGATTTGAAGCACTGCGTTCACGATACCGCCCAGACCTTCTCCAGCTATGAAACCTGCTGCCAGCGGAAATAAGTACTAGATAATAACGGTGAGCAGTCGCCTCAATGCAGCAGAAGACACTACCATCGCGTGACTAGCTCCGTGCGTTTTCTTCCATACCGCGGCGATGACTGCACCCATGAACATAGCAATAGGGTATGTGCATGAATTGAGGATGAAGGCGATGCCCAACGCGTTAAAGTTGGGGACCCTGCACGTAGTCAGTGAATGCAGGCGGATCACATGGCCAGCGTTGCTTACCAGTGGTGCTTGTCCGGGGGAACCCAGCGGTACTTGACAATTGTGGTGAGAACTGCAGCTGCACCCAAGCCCTAAGTAGGCTGTCTTGAGTCTTCCCTCAGCTATAACGACAATCTAGAAGCTCACGATGGCAGCGTAACCACTCGAAGGAGGGATAGGCAACGTGGGTGAGGATACTGCGACGGCCACAGCTCTCCAAGATGCCACGTCCGGTGCTGGGAATGAGCAAGTGGTGGAGGCGTTCAGGTCGATGATACAGGGATACGCTTCCCGACGAAAGTCAATGAACGCCGTATGGCATCAGACCAGACAATTGGTCTTACCCGTGGAGAACAACACGAACATCCCTGCACTCATGAAGATAGATACCAGCGCGCCAACGGCTTGTGCATACAACTGAACTCGAGGAGAAGCTCCCAGCAAGTGAGTCGTCTTCAGATCTCCTGCATTCCACCTTATCGTCAGATGCATACTGCCTAGATAAACAGAGGATTCATACCTAGCATGTCAGCGCACTGTTCTGATGCGGCCAGTGCCAACATTCCGGACAAGGAGTTACCCCGTTGGTTGTCCTTGACACTCTCGTGCCTACCCCTAGAAACACCTCCGAAAACAAGCTGGGACGCATTCCCGATGCTCGTTACTGGTATGACTGAGACCCGACCGCAACACTCTGCCCCAATCAATGAAAACAAGAAAGCGAAGACGATGGCAAGTAGAGTGACACCTGCGTTCTGGTTAAATTGGACTCCCATAACGACGACTGATACAATGGTACTGATGACCACGCCGCCTGTCCAGAGCCACAATGGCACTTGTTCATGAGGAGGGGCGGGATCTTCGATCACATAATCCTCTGCAATTTTGGTGTCCTCGGTCTTTCTCAATCTCGCAATATGGGGAACTATCATTTGCTTCACTGTTGTGATGATGCTCTTGAAGTTGCACCCCACCTCTGCAAAGGATGCGCATAGTACTGTCGCAGGCGTGTCAATTCTTCCGGCGCGATCACGCAAGGTCAAAAGTTCCACGTACGCATGAGGGTTCCCGGCCAGATCAACCAATACCTTGGCGAAGGTGCGTGCACCGGGTCGGAGAGAGTCATACCCATCATATTGATGTAACCTGGGTATTCTGGGCTGAATAGCGTACCAATCGCTTCGCCAGTGCTGACCAGGACCGGCGCGATGATGCCCCAAGCGAGGACACTTCCACCCAAGAATGACGTCGCAGAGTTCAAACCAACCAGTAGACCACAACCTATAAACGCAGGCGTCCATCTGTCAAACGTTTAATGATGAAGTTCCTAGATGACTTTACAACGACCACGCTTACTCGATGACCCAATAGAAGTTTTCCGCTCGGATAATCCACTTCCATCCTGCTCTATAGAACCAGTAGCCCTGGTGTGCATATTCAACAGGACAGCGCCCTCGAAATCGAAGACGACATACCCAATGCCAATCCCACATAATACCAGGCTAGTGGCGAGAGTGTTAGCGAAGAGGAATGTTTTTCAAACGTGTTACTTACTGCGTACTCGCTGGTCACTCTCCAAGTGATGGCAAAACAGAACGCGATGAGCAAGCACATAGTTTTCTTGCGGGCGTTGCCCTCAGCATTCTTCCCCACGTGAAGCGACCGTATGGTATATGCCTGTGAGTTACTCTTCAGGGCCATAGACTACTGAGAATAAAGCAGGATCATACCGCTGCCACCGAGCTGGGGAAGACCAGTTTTAGCTTCAAGATGTAGAACTTCCTTAACGGAATCGTGAAGAATATCCCGAAATATGCGCAAGCAATCGTGAACGTAAACAAACGACCTATATCCGCCTTCGGGCTTTCACCCATGAGGCCCAGCTGGTACATCGCTGGAAAACCGGAGGCAAAAAGAAGTCCCAGCGATCCGGCAGCGGTGGCTGTCGACATCACGCATACGTTCTCCTTGGGGCCAAAGTAGCCGCCTCCGAATTTCTCGGGCAAGACCTTGGACAGAGGCTTGATTATCGCGAACCCAAATATCGAGCCGAAGAGGCCGGCCCCAAAGGTCCACCCCGTCTTCAGTCCCAGGTAGATGTTCGACGCTGCGATGACTCCGCCCAGTATCGAGCCAACAAAAACGGCGCGGAAGGTGAACTGCTGAGGCTCTGGGATGGCGTTTGGGTCTTCCGGGAAGGGATCGAGCACGCCGAAAGTCTGCTCCTGTCCATCGTTCTCGCCGCTATCACTGTAAATCGACTTTCCCTCGAGCGAATCGACGGCATGGACGGCGACACCGCCCTGTTGCCCTTTCTCAACGCTACCGTACCCTGCTTCTTTCTCCTCCAAGGAGTCTTCGCGAATGCCGGCTTGACTGTCGACTATCTGGGGATTGGATACGTTGATATGGCTGCCGTAGAATACTGCCGTGTTCGCCATGGCACCGATTCCGCGCCGTCCCCTGGAGGAGAGGAATCTCGACGACAGTGGGCGAGCGAAGAGCGTTCGCTACAGTTATACAGATAAGCTGTACTTTTTATTACGAGCATTAGCATCCTAATCTCTCATCAGGTAGATCTTCGGAAGAATGGGATTAGTGTGGTGTATACTCCATATGCACGACGTGCACGTCTTATCATGGTTAAGGAGTGTTACGGATGACTGCTAGGAATGCCGGTCCAGTGACGGAAAGGGTCGATAACATGCCGCACGAAAGGAAGATAAGACCTGGGCACGGAACCGCGTCCAGGTCCGCGCACGCCCAATAGCATCCGAACGGGACCTACGCAAGGCATCGTGGTAAGAATAATGCGCTTGAAGTTCCCTTGTAGATCTTCTGGAATGTTGTCTAGTAATCGCCGCGACATTCTTGTTCCCTGGAGTACATGTTAGGTACACTGCGTCACCAAATAGTCTAGTCGAAGATAAGAAGCGGCTTGACCTGCACGCGACCTAGGCTAGCCTGTACTGTTCATACTGCCAATTCCCTCCACTTCCTAGGCGGCGCTGAGGCGTTGAAGGCTCGGGCTTGGTCAAGTTTGCATGATCGGACAGGAGTGAAAATCGGTCTTACCTGCCTGATGATCCTTCCAGCCTTGCCTGACGAAGGAGAGTCCGTCAACGAGAGACGACACCGCAGAGCGGCGGATAATCATGGGAGATCTGGGAGAGATGCTCGCCGGCGGTAATGCGCGAGAAGTCTGGATCGCGTAATTCCAGGTACAATTGGACCACGCTTCTATCGGAGTGAGACAGGTAAACTGGTCTAACTCGAGCAGGCAGACTACGGAGTACTAGTAGTGCAGAGTAGATAAGGGTGATTCTGCGTCGACATAGGGTGTACGCTGGTGCGCAACTGGTCCACTTACGCGGACCCGAAGGGCAGAAGACAGCTACTACTTACTGTACTGTAATTTGGCAACAGGCACGATCGTGCTCCTCCCGGCACGCTATCTACCAATCATATAACGTCCCGAAGCGAAACCCTAAATTGTGGTTCTAATCACATCTGCCAGTTTCTGGGTAGCTTGATACGACGCCTCCTAAATAAGGTTTAGTAAACCAGTAACTGTGTTAAGTGGTCGCTTTTGTTGAGCGGTGCCTACAGTAGAAGCAAAAAAATTTGATCGCTAGCTTCAAGATTCTCTTTGCTGTGTCTGCCTTATGCTGGTGTGTTCTGCGATGGACTACTCGCTAATCAATCATGTTAACATGAAGATGTCGATTCAACTAGCCCCTTTACGCTATCTGGGCTTTTCGGCCTGCCTGAACTCAATGCCTCTCGAGTCATACCAGCGCAATGGTATCTGTTCGCGATTTGTACAAATTAGTCCAATTGCAAGAGACGCCACCGTCGATATAGCTACATAAAATCTTCTTCCGCCTCTCTGACACTCTTCTTCGGTGCACTATTGAATTCCTCTTCATCCTCACCAGTGAAAAGGGAGTCGTACGAGCGCGCGGCTTTTTCCGCTTCCCTGGCTCGCGCAAGCTCCGCATCCGCCTTTTTCTGCGGGGTTGATATTTTAGTTTGGAATTCCCCACCATCATTAACAATGTGATCAAGTTTACCTTCGCGGCAGCAGCCGCCCTACGAATAGCGTTCTCCTTTTTGATACGCTCGATACGCTCTTGCTCGTGGTCGACCTGCTTCTCGACCTTCGTCTTGTTTAGTCGGTTGACGATAGCGTTATCACGTTTCACCACGTAAACTGTAGAAATCGTCAGGCAGCAAATACAGGAGACCGGGCGAAAAGTGTTGCCTCTCTTCACCTATAAGTACAGATATGAGAACCTCGATCACGGTATACGGATATTCGAATGTGAGACTGGGCATACCCGCTTGTCATTATGGAAGGATACTTGTCCTACAGCCATATCACCAGTTTTCTACGAAAGGTCTAGGATGAGCTAGCGTAGCAAGTTAACTAATATGAACTACCTTCAGGTTATCTGCAGGTGTGTATATGATCGTCAGGTTGTCCTTTTTGTTCCCTGATCATCGTGAGATCCAACGTCGCCTGATACGGGATACGGATCGGGCCATACCCTCTATCGAGTTCGCCTTGACAAGTTGCGCGCAGTCCACGAGCAAGGGTTCCGGGATCTTTTCCCACTGCATTCCACCGGGCATGCGAAGGTATACGTGTGCCGAGGACAATTTATCTACGTGAAACCAAACATCTTGTGGCCACGCATACTTGATAAGTTCCTCATCTACGTATTAGAAATAGAAGCATCAAGGCCGGGGGGCGATCTTCGAAAGTCAAAGCACGAACGTACGTACTTTCCACCTTGTCTCTACCCATGTAGAGCGTAGCAGGCGGCTCAACAGCTGAAAGCTCATTAAAAGTTTGTTTTCATCACAACGTTGATCTATACCTGTGGAAGTGAAAAACAGGACCATTCTATTGCACGATATACGCAAATGAAAGCGAATTCGTAAATGGCAGTGGCAGTTGGGTTGCGTTTCCCATTGTATATAAAGCTCTGCTCCTTACGTAATTAAGGGGTACAACGGATCCCGGCGGCAGGTGCCACAGCCACCCGGAATTGCTCTTGCCTCCGTCCACGACGTGCGTCCTTTCGGGGCATTCGCTAGGGATCGTCTGACACTCGATGACCTAGATTCAAACTTGTTTGGAAAATGCCGGCGGTTGAGGAGGTCCCAATCGAGCTCTGGACGCAAATCGTCGGTCTACTCACGAGGCGGAGCGATTTAGCCCATGTTTCGGCTACATGTAGGACGCTGTACGCAATCGCAGCGCCGTACCTTCATCAAGCATTTCCCATTCGGACCTGGTCTGTCAACCAATTTCTTAGGCTCATTAATCGTCCTGCACCGTTTGTACCGGAATTCCTAGCTATCGGAGTTTCCGACCACAGTGAAGAGCATGATTTCTGGGACTCACCCAGGTGGCCGACGGAAGGCGCGCGCACTATTCCGCGCCGCCAGTACGTCTCGCATGACACGTACCAGCGGATCGTGAACGCCACCTTCGGGTTCACGTCCGTGCGTGAACTCGTCATTTTCAACGTACACGTCCCGCGGAGATTCTACGACTTGATCTATGACCTCCCCAACCTCGAGTCTTTGCATGTGGAAGCATGCACTTCGGCTGGCTTGGGAGACGTCTTCCAGCACAGGGACTTGGGCATCACAGAATTGACTCTCCGCGTGTGCGACACGGTGACGGCCGGAATACTGTGTCGCTTGGCGACAGCGTCTAACTTACAGACTCTACGTATTGACGAGACCGCCAACGTGTTCCAGGAATGCTCTACCGATCTATCTCAGAACATCCGCTTCATCTACGTGTCGAACTTCCGGACATTCACGGACCCTCTGCCACCCGAAGCGTACAACCGCTTTAAAACATCTCTGACTGAATTTCTGTCCTCGTATCCGCACCAGGTGGAATGGCTGAGCACGTCGCTCCCTGTACAGTCTACTCTGGTGCCGAACGCACTACCGCTCTTACGTCATTTCCGCGGAAACACGACTGCTGTTGGCACGGTAGCCAAATGTGGCCAGCTGCGGAGTCTTATTATAGAGGCGGGCGAGACCTTCCACTTGACCTCCAGCGGTGTTCTAGATAGGATTGCAGAGCACCAACCAGAGCTCAAGTCTCTCACTCTGCGGCTCTCGGAATGGGACCTCGAAGTCATCCACGCCGTCGCGCACCTCTTCCCGAACCTCGAGAGGCTGAAAGTAACCTTTGTCCGCGGCTCGCTGTCTGATGTAAGTCCCGTCTTGCCCATGTCTGCAAAGCTGAACGTCATCCAGGACGAGCTCGTGGGCCTGGTCCCGCGGCACCTGCACCGCCTGCGGAACCTACGCCGGCTTGAGATTTTCATGGTGCGCTTCTCGTGGCGCAACAAGTCCGTGACGATGCGGCAGCAGTTCCCAAGCCCGTCGTTCGAGGACTATGTCGACGACGCCGAGTTCGAGATGTGGGAGGAGAACGGGCTCGGCCAGGCGGTCACGCTGCCAGACGAGGAGTATAAGGAGTTCTTGATCACGTGGAAGTATGCCTGCCCGGATCTGCGTGAGGTGCAGCTGGCGCCGGGGTACGTGTGGAGGCGCTATGGTCCCAAGGATCCGTGGTGCAAGCGCAGCTGTAGGTGGAACAATGGGTATAGGGAGGTGTGGTGAGGTTGATGGAGGTATCAGGATTAGGGAAAAGTCACCTAAAAGAACTCGTTCACTTAAAGTGCGGGTGTCGTAGCATGTACATGTACTAGTATTGATAACGCAGTCGATGTTCTGAAACGCTCCCCTGCGCAGGTACTTAGATAAGACTAGGATACCCAAGATCTATCCGCAGTTATTTTGTCAAGTTGAACATGACGCGCATGCGCAGCTATTGTGCACTGTTCGACCGCCCTTATCGGAGCTTAGTATATTCTGTCGAGTTATGAGCAAGTGCGGCGCAGCTATGCATCGCGCAGCTCGGAGAGGTCAGGTAGCTAGGTTTTCGAGGATATCCAAGTCCGAGAGTCGAAACTGCATACCTTGTGTAATTCAGACTGCGGAGCTCCTTATCGACTCCGTTCAAGCTTTCATCACCTTCAAGTCTGCTTTGTATGGTAGGAATCTGGACGGTTTTCGGGCTGAGACGCAGAATGTATATCCGAAGTAGCTGATTCGACACCTTCGGGTGTCGAATTGAATGTTGAACTCAGAACAAGTCCCCGACCTGCCCATTATGCATCGTCGGTCTACAGTAACTTGCGCTTGCGTTATTGCCACGTCGCGTCGCACAAGTACAACCAGCGATGACCTGAACCAACGTTCACGACCCTACAATTCTAGAAGCCATGTACTGAAGGTAGGTGTACTAGCATTGATTATCTGATGTGCTAATCATATTCATGCACAGTCACTTCGCTAGTCTGCTTCTGGGCAAGATGCGCATGGACAAACCCACCAGGAGCAGGAAGGGAATATACCATTAACATTGTCCGATTCCCCGGGACCGCTGTGAGAGAGAGGTAGCCTCCTTACCTGAATGCAGCCACATGCGCCATCGCTCGAGTCAGATGGAGTCGCCACGGAATCAGTCATCCCGCTCCGGCGGTGGTTACGGTCACTCTGATTATTCAATTTCGGTGTGCCATGGGCCTGAAACTCTTACCATAAGGAAGACCGAACGCAGCAGCTCGGAGCTAATCTTGTACATTGACAATGTTGACATGCAGCTGGCTCTCAGGAACCGGTACGCTGCGCCTGAACTCGCAGCACAGGACTCGAAAAGCACTGTTATATCAGCAGGCCATGATGATTCGGAAGTCTCAGTCTGCGAATATAAAGTCATTCACTGCTTTCAGCATCAAGTCCAAGCTTCTTCAGAGACGGAGGTCGTCTCTGCGGATTTTTCTTACTTGACTCCGCACCCGCAATTTGCCACCACATGGGGAATAAGCAATCGTCCGCGCCCAATCCCTCCCGCCGTCGGCGGACCAACCCGCCGGAACCAGCTCAACCCAGGTACTTGGTGTGCGTAATAATGTTCTCCTAGATGCAGTGCTCAAAGTACTGGACCGTATAGCGCCTCTCAGAATACTCCCCAAGCTCCCAATGCCGAAGGAAATATGAACAGCGGTGATGCTGCTTCGTTCGTGTCCACGACCACTACCCTCGTACCCTCGACAAGTATCACAGCACAGTCGCACGCGGTAGGCGCAGGAGTCATGGGGCAGCCGTCCCCTTCGTCACCCTCTGCCTCACGAGACTACGAGTCTTCCTTCGCCGCCTTGTCCTCCTCCTTTGGATTTGGGGCGGCGGCGCCGGTTGTGCCACGGAAAGCTCCCAAATCTGACGGTGAGCAGTCGATGAAATCCAAGACTTAGGATCCGCTATGAGGGATGCCGGCTAGTTGTGGTATATAATCTACCCTCCGAATTCCATTACTCTTTCACTGACTAGCGACCTAGCAGAGATCGTCTAGTATTAGACAACTACAAGTGAGCGGCACTCCTTCCTTTGCCCAGGGGATACGATAAACATGTATATATCCTGTCCTGAAACGAGAATGGTGGGCACGCGTAAGTCGGAGCTTGGTTGATGCTGCAATATGCTGGGATCGCTACTTTGGTTAGCGTGTCACTGGCTTTCACGAACCAGTGCTCGGGACTAAGGTCAGGTAGTCAGGCCAACCAAGAGCACCAGTTAGTTGTTCCGACGTCGGTCACAAGAAGGATTCAATCAGATACCAATATGCCCAGTACGACAATATAGCCCCCCCACAAATACCCATACTAGACGTAGAAGATAATAGATAAAGCGCCGCAAAAAGAATTAATCAACCGCTCAGGACCTTGCGCACAAAGCCCAGCATTTCCTGATATACCTGCGGGGCGGAATAATGCGCATTCACGGCGTGCCTGTGGATAAAGAGTAAGCCACGAGGTGCGTATAGCTGAGGATAGCCGACTCACCCAGTGTTCTCCGGGATGTAGACAGAGAAGTCGCTGACGGCCGGGTATAGCTCCTGGACGTATTCGGGAATGCTCTTCCGGGTGCTGTTGGCCGGGACAGCATAACAATCCAAAAAGCAGAAAGGCCAGTCTTCGGCACCAGTGACCTATGATCAAGCATCATCAGTACCTGATACGGATGTTAGGCCAACTAACTCGTACCACATGAACAGGGCCAGTGAACTGCGTCGCATTCTGCATCAAGACGCCTTGCGTGAACAGCACACCTTGCGTCACGGGCTGCTCGGTTTCTCTGTTGCGCTGGAATGCTGCGTCGGAATAGAAGGGGAAGTACCAGAAGTTCAGTTGCTGAGTCTGCGGCGCCAACGTGACGAAGTAGGTGCTCGCAAGGTCGGCGTCCTTAAAACGCTCGGGGAACACCTGCGAGGCGGTCGAGTAAGCACCCGACGTCAGCAGCTGCTTCCCTCCAGTCCTGAGCGGAGTGAAACGTCAGCATCCAAGGCAATTGACCAAGCAGCATCACACGTACGCGTTCATGGAGAATCCTTGAAGGAGTATGCCATCTAGCAAATGAGGCACGGTGGCTGACAAGGCTTGTACCTGCTCCGAGCCATAGCTGTGACCGACACCCACGACCTTAGAGAATTTTTGGCCGCCGATTTGGCCGTCCTTCAGCATACTCAGAAGCTTAGTGGCGATTGCGAGGTCAGTCGGTGCCTGTACCTCACTGAAGTCGACATCAGTCTTATATCTATTATATCGAACTGCGTGCCCTTACTTGTAAGTATCCGACGGATGTTCAGAAAGGCCGGTGCCCAAACGGTCGTAGCGGAAGGTGGTATAACCTGCGTCAGCTGCTGCGCTGACATAGCTGTACTCGTCCTTGCCTGGTACAGCAAAGTCCCAGTAGCTTGATTGGCCGTGGACAGTAAGAATCGGTCGGATGGTCTAGAAAAGGCTGCGACAGACCTCGAATCGAAGCCAACACCATGGATAAGGTATTGCACGTGTTCGACGTCCTTCAGTTGGACGTCTTTTGGAGTGCACAGCGTGCCAGAGATGGAGTAGGACCGTGAGAGCTGCTGCTTGTCGGCATGCTCATACTCCCGACTGAAGTTCACGGGCAAAGGTGAGAAGACTTGGAGTAACTTCGTAAAATATGTCTGAACACGCATGTCAGTATGGTGTAGCTGGCTATACCATATAGACGTACCTCGTTGGCATTACTGTCCACATTCTGAAATACGACGTTGCTACCAGGCTCCTAGAACCATCCGTCTCCGCGTCCTCGATCCTCTCTGCTGAGGCGTATGTGAAGATGTTATGTAATAGGGCTTATATAATGCAACTTATTTATAGATGTATTTCCTAATTAAGACGACTAGTGAGGATGAGGATCCGGACGCTCTGAGACGGCTGGCCCAACTCGTCGTCCGAGGTTTTACCGGAATTATGTAAGGCAGCTAAGCGACTAACGACGCGTCGGTTTACTGCCGGTTTATCGACGTTCGTCGACTGCCCAA